ACTGTCCAATGAACTGTCACACACCAGGCTGAACATGTTCCAATGAACTGTCACACACAAGACTGTACATGTACCATTGAACTGTCACACACTAGGCTGAACATGTTCCAATGAACTGTCACCCACAAGACTGTACATGTACCAATGAACTGTCCAATGAACTGTCACCCACTAGGCTGAACATGTACCAATGAACTGTCCAATGAACTGTCACACACAAGACTGTACATGTCCCAATGAACTGTCCAATGAACTGTCACACACTAGGCTGAACATGTTCCAATGAATTGTCACACACAAGACTGTACATGTACCAATAAACTGTCCAATGAATTGTCACACACTAGGCTGAACATGTACCAATGAACTGTCCAATGAACTGTCACACACCAGGCTGAACATGTTCCAATGAATTGTTACACACTAGGCTGCACATGTACCAATGAACTGTCCAATGAACTGTCACCCACTAGGCTGAACATGTTCCAATGAATTGTCACACACTAGGCTGAACATGTTCCAATGAATTGTCACACACATGGCTGTAACTTTTAGTCATACCTCAATCAGTTACAGGCATAATACATTGAATACTTTGTCACATCTCTGGACACACAGAAGTCACATCTCAAACAAACACTAGCTGGTGACTGCTGCAATGGAATAACGACCACAACATACATCAAAATACCTTGATGACAAGATGTCTGTTAAATAGTTTTAAAGCCAATCTTCCTAACTTAAGCTAGACGACATAACAAAAGAAACCAATTTGTAAAGATGTCGCTGAAGTTTACAATTTTACAGGCAATATAATCAATAAGTGCAGTGCCCAGACGCGGGTTGTCTATCCCTGTGTTACACTGGAGAATGTCAGCCTTTTAGAATGTCATACAGCTTCCTGGACACTGATGTTTGTCTATTTACCATGTCCACACATACACATCTGGCACATACACACATCAGGTACATCTGCATATAAAACATATTACACAGCTAACAGCTGTGTGGCCATTTTACATGTGTCCAAATGGTAAGGCAATTAACAGGTATTCCTGACCATCTTTTTCCACAAAAGTACTTAATTTTTCCCAGGTAAACACCTGTTTCCTCCCCTTTTCAACAAGGATATTATTAACAAAATTAGATAGTTTAGTTGCTGTAGTATGCATAAAATCTGACAGATAGTGTGCTTTACGAAAGATGACAAAATCTTTCACAATATTTTATGCAATACAAATCCCTTTTCTTAATTGTTATAGGAATTACATTTCTTTATTTGGCAACAGTACCATAAAGTTGACCTAACATCATGACATGAAGAGCAAGCAAGCAAAAGAGTTATGTATGAAGTTCTAGATAGATTGATCCAAATTAAATATGAATTATGCAGAAAATGGTTATCTATCTATGAACATGGTGACCCTGATCTTTGGCATCCTAACGTAAAATGGAAGAAATCCCAAGCAGGAACTGTTTACAGAAAAGTTTTCTACAAGAGTTGAGCATGACTGACCCAAGAAACATTACAATATTATGTGGAAAATTATTTTTCTTCTTATGACCCTAAATCTTTTAAAATCAGAAACCTAGTTCCAAGCAAATATTTTTTCGCAAAGAAGGTTTCTTTGAGGAGGGGAAGTCAAAATTCTGGTCTGACAAATGGTCAGTGAGATAGTCATCAATGAAACATTCCCTTTAATCATAAGGTATACACGCTTCCTAATCTACAGTCAACTCTCAATCCCTCATCCTCCAGCTTTATAGCAGTAGGAGATTCCACCAACATTGAACAATATCAGAATTATAGCAGATGAATGATTAGAACAAGCATGTGTAATGCTGGGCTTAACATCATAGCTTGGGTAGAAAGTCCCTATCTGAGGGTGATCTGATTGGTGCATGCTATTTGTAGGCTGAGCTGTCTGCATCAGACTGTAATCAGAATGGTGCATGTATTGGTAAGGAGCTATGTGTACTGTAAGTCACTAGATAACTACATTGATCAGCCCCATTGATCAGGAATTAACTTAGGATATGTACACTTACTGATAAACTTGTGGATTCTCAGGAATGGATTCCCCACCCCAGACGCACGGTCCCACCGCCGTAAAACTACTTACCACCATGTTCAAATGCCGTCCTGGACAAATGAAAAACAGATCGATTGGAGTAAAATCAAATTTAGAAAAGAAATATAGATTATACGGATAGAAGACATGCACTCCTGGATGGATTTCTCTCTCGGTGAAAAACAGGACATCGATAACAACCTGATTGTCGAAAGTAAATGAAGATACATTGAGACTATCTCACATATCCGTTTGTAGTCAAAGGTGCGGCCATTCAATAGCTCAATGAATTACCAGATTAATGCGGTTAAGCACAGGAAAAACAATCCACTCAGTTTTTTATACCATTCAGTTGTCTCAAACATATTGTTTTATTGGGTTATCATATCAATATTATGTCCTAAGATTCAATTGTCCTAGTAGAGGAATACATCTGGAATGTGTATTGTCCTCGTAACAAGAGCAGTCGTGTTCTGACTACCATGGCTAAGTCAACACTTGTTACATGGTAAACATAGTAAAACAAAAACAATAACTATAAAAAGTGCGTGCAAATCAATGACACACTTTGTATTTATCAATGACACACTTTTATTTTATCAATGGCACACTATATATTTATCAATGACACACTTTGTATCTATCAATGACACACTTTATATTTATCAATGACACACTTTGTATTTTATCAATAACACACTTTATATTTTATCAATAACACACTTTATATATTTTATCAATAACACACTTTATATTTTATCAATAACACTTTATTTTTATCAATGACACACTTTGTATTTTATCAATGACACACTTTGTATTTTATCAATGACACACTTTATATTTATCAATGACACACTTTGTATCTATCAATGACACACTTTATATTTATCAATGACACACGTTGTATTTTATCAATGACACACTTTGTATTTTATCAATGACACACTTTCTATTTATCAATGACACATTTTGTATTTTATCAATGACACACTTTATATTCTATCAATGACACACTTTGTGTTTCATCAATGACACCCTTGGCACTAATGCTGTTTTTGTCATCAATAATTTAATCACGATTAGAATTTATAAATTTACAACTTTAGTGACATGGTTTTTTTAAACTAAACTTTTAAAAATATCACCGAGAGAAAATTAGCAGAACATGAAATAATACACAAAAAACATTGATTAACACAGTTAGACAGACCAATTGTGCTGGTAGAATTCAAATTATCAAATCTGTGGAGAACAAATCTTGTTGGCAATGTGAAAATTAATGACTAACCAACCATGCAGGATACTATTAATTTAGAGGAGAATCTGAGCTGCCCCTTGTAGAACTTGTAAAATACTGAACCAGTGGAAGGGTAGTCCCTAAGCCAAACACAAGCTCAGAGACAATTGACAGTCAGTTACTCTACAGAGCACAAACTACAACATAAGAGAAGATATACTGATGACAGGTTTACCGGCAAACCGTTAAATGATTCTTCACATCCAAAAGGTGTGTTTTCAGGGGCCCACTTATAATTACAGCATGTACAGAGAAATAACCAGGATTATTGAACCTTGTCAGGAAATGCATGATTCTGCTTAAACGTAAGAAACCCGTCGGAATATTACCAAACTACATGTCATAATGTACAAACTGTTTCATGAATAATGCAAATCCATAAAAACTAGGTAGGTAGGAACACTTCAAATGACCCAACAACCGACACTGTTATGGCTATAACCTCGTCAGTAATCTGTATTGTACAAACACTTTACACACAAGGCAACAATCGTTTTTCATGATCATTGATTGTGAGTACTTGTACAAGAGCACAGTTGGCATTTGTATGTTAAACCTCTATTATCTGTAACTCATAACAGACATTTGTAAAGCAACAAGGAGAACAAATTACAAATTCCTGTACATAGTTTGAATTATTCACGATTCATATACACTCATTTCATACAGATAGCAGATGCAATAAATTTGTGTCCAAAATTTCTATATTGTTCAGAATTCATAGTGGGTAATTTGATCGTAGAAACAGGCTAACGAATATATACATATCTAGTCCGAGATGACATATAGAAAAAGAAACATGGAGGAGGAGGATGTATATTGTGGGGAGATGTCACCAGGTCTAGATCTCAGTCCCATGTCAGGCAGATAGTCCAATTTACATACAGACATACATATTATCAGTACGGAGGCAGAACTACAAATAAACATGCAAATACAGAAACCACTAACACAGTATCATGGTAATGTCTGCAACCTCTGGAAGTCCATTAGTCCAATTACACAATCAAATACTACATATATGTAAAAGAAGTCAATAATCTGAAATTTTGATGGATGATTTTTTTCTCTTTATAACAACCTGATTTAAGTCCAAGATACAAGGTCCTTGTTTGAAAGTCAATGTTCTTTCAAATTGTCTTACATTGTCCTTGAATGATCCCTCTCCAAAGACACAAAAGCATTTCTAATGTAATATTGCTCTGCTTCGTAAATATGCTAAGCATGTTTAAGTGAGCCAGACACTTGGCAGTCTCAACAAAACGTTTGGCAGTAATGTAAAAATCTTTAATACGGTTTGATGTCAACCTTGACCTTGACAAAATTTAGTGACAAAATGGATTTTTTTTTTTATATTAAGTTATTTGGAAACACAATCAATTAAATTATAAAGAAATTTAGATTTCCAATAGAATTATGAAAGACACAGGGACTCAAAAGGATAAACGGTGAAAAAAATACACAACAAGCAGCAGTAGAAGGCTTAACAGGTATTGAGAACTAAACAGTCAACATTTGTATAATATACAGCCATGTGTTCAATGCCTTTTTTGACAACAAAATATGTATCACACCACACTAGAAACTATATTTAGCTCACCTGGCACTAGAAACTATATTTAGCTCACCTGGCACGAAGTGTCTGGTAGCTTCAGCTAATATGCCATGATGCAGCATCCTTCATTCACCCATCCATCGTTAACTTTTCCTTTAAAAGACAGAATAAGTGAAGAGATTCGGACTTAATTTGGTACGGAGTATCTCAGGAGTCAATAGATGTAGTCATATATGTAGACATATCTAGTCTGAGACGACATATAGAAAAAGAAATGATTTTGTTTAAATTCTTATAGGCTGTACTCGTATGTTAAAATCCTGACACATTTCCAGGGTATTTCATCACAAATGACATAATCAAATCTGTTATTCTGATCTCTAAAATGTTGTAAAATTAGGTTTCTTTTCAACGGACACGTGTTGTCTATGTATTTTGACTCTGATGCTTCAGTCATTTTCTCTCAATGGTTTTTCATGGTGCCAATTTCTGACACATTAAAGGTCACCTGTATGTATATTGAAATTGATATTGGTTCATAAAAATGCCTTAATGTTCCGACATAGTTTTATTCCCCATGTTCTTACATATGGTTTCCTATTCCACATAGCCTGTATTGAGAGATCCAATGCTGCTGAATCGCAGCAAGTGAGTAAATATGTGACATATCTGAGGTTTACAAAGCGTTACACGCGATTAGTCGCGGGGGACAGCTGACTGATCAGGCCATAAGTCACAACCTTCTAGACTGACCATTCTCCATCATCCTAACATGAAACTCAATAACTGGTTGATTCCCTGTATCTATTCACCACATCTGTCCGGAGACGTCCAGCGGATCAGTAGTCAGCTAGCTGGTGTGGATGTCCAGTCCATTTAACACAGTGTTTGGTCAATGAGGATAATTCAATAACCCAATCTCATCTTACAAGATTGATGACCGCAAAACAAATGTGTTTGACCCTGGTCTGGATATGTCCAGGAACACTACACAAGAAACACATACATCAATACACATACCATATCACTGTAATCTGTTTTCCATGTCTTTGTGTTTCATATAGAGCAAAACTTGATCCGACACAACATGATTTTATGTCCTCAAGACTTCTAGGTTATCTGGCATTAACACTGCCTCCACCAAACAAAACATGTATATTTCATATAATTTGATAAAACACTCAGTACTCCCTTGTTGAGGTATAAAATCAGGTTAGATTATATAATAATTCAAGTCTACTACATACCATTATAAGTCTATTACAGACCCTTATAAGTCTACTACAGACCCTTATAAGTTTCTTAACACACACCTCCTATGACCAAATATGTTCTCTTACATCTCAATCACAGAACATAATAAATGTAAACTTCATTTATATATCAAATTGATTGTTTAAATGACATCATTAAATCATTCCCATTATAGAAATTTCTGACATACACACATGACTGCTAGCTGACATGAGATTTTATCAGTGTCTAACAAGTATTGAAGTCTTAAATGATTGAGACATCCATTCTAAAGAGAAAAAAGAAGTATAGAAATGCTAACATTAGAGATACCATATCAGCTAATGACATGACAATCTCAGTTATCAAACTTCTTAGTGGATTTGGTTACTGGAGACAATAGTATTAACAATTTCTATAATTGAAGTTTCGGAGTCTGAACCCATTATTTACAACAATTACAGTACAAGGCTTCTAGAGAAAGATTAATGTCTTAATGTTACACAATGTTTAAATCTTTCCTGTTTCAATAACATTTAATTTAATTTTGACTGAAGACTTTGTCGTTGGTAGGATGTATAATCATTGTTATGCTAAAGAGTGCATGATATTTCAGGATGAATGTAAATAATAAACTATTGTCCTTGTTGTCATGCTGTGCATTGCCTTATATGGTGTGTCGTAGGTGAATCACAGGGAATGGCAATGCACTTCTAACATTCTATATGCTCCATGTTAATCTGAGCCTGCGGTGCAGAAATCATTGATTTCCACAAAATGTACAATTGTTGCAATCTGTAGGAAATTAGAGTGCCTTATTGTCATTTGGCAATCATTTGTACGAGAATCTCCTTCATTTGTTATTGTTGACTAAGCACCCAAAAATACTCAACCTCCAGCTGTGTATATAGCATAAGGTATGTCATTCATCAGTGTACATCATGCTCGCCAAAGCGCATCACTTGCCTTGCCTCGAGATTCATTTTCACAAAGCACATCCTTTAACAGCATTTAAATCATCATTCAGTAATATTCATCATTTTTTCATAAAGACTTCCACCCAGTAAGATTGATAATTCACCAAGATTCACTAAGGATCATCATGCACCAAAACATTTCATTCTCTTAGATTCATCATTTATTAAAATATTATCATTCCTAAATATTTATCATTCATTTACCAATATTTCCATTCATCAAGATTCATCGAGACTCATCTTTCACTAAGATTAATCATTTAGTAAGATTCACACTGGTGCATCCTTTAAAAAAGGGATTTTAATCACTAAAGCACACTGACATACGATGAAAAAGCATGTGATACAATTCAAGTAACAATCAATACAGCACATTTACATTCTCATGAAACATTCTGAAAAAACTGAACATTTTTAAGATTGAAATTGCTCTGATCTTGTGGTCCCATTGAACGAGTTCCATCAATAAAGCGCAAGGAACCTTGATTCATCTTGTTGAATGAAACTAAACACACTTTTATATACCAACAATGGTCAAGTCTACAATGTATGAAATATTTTGCACAATGTACCTCCTTATTTTTAGAAAACAGCATTTTTTGTGTGCCTTTCAAATTGTTTTAAACGGTTCCCATGGTGATATCTGGACCACATTCTCATTTGAGGGCAACACTTGACACGATTGCCACCTACTTCCTTACTGACCAGACCCTATAATCAATAGCCATGATCAAATATTGATCAGCATGCAAAAACAAGTTTCAATTTAAAGATTTTAAAGCATGATGTAGGGTTTTCACATGATAGAAAATCTTTGTAGCTTGGTTGCTGGAGCTTTGATTGCCATCTCCCCTGCCTGCCTTTTATTAGTGTCTATCCTGGGGTACAAATCAATGGAGGCTTAGATCTTCGCCCTCGCCTTTCATGGTCCCCAAGAAATCTTCAAACGAGAGATATAGTCCAATGAAAGCATTGCTTTGAATTTAAATGAACTTTTCCTGCAGATTTCTGATTGTGTTGCATACATAAAAGCTCTATATTTTATTTCACAGGGACATCAGCAACAATTCTCTAGCTCTGAACAGCCACTTGTAATTCTTCACTCTCAAAAAAAAGTTGCAAAATTCAATCCAACACAAAATGCTTTGAAACAGCAAAACCAAGGTGAGAAGTTGGTGCGACTTTTCATTATTGTACATCAAAGTGTCAAAGGTAACAAAACTTATAGGGTTTCAGTTTCTTAATCTTGGTGTTACAAAATGTCTAGAAGAATACAAGATCTACAAGGTTCTTGTATTTGTTTGGATCTCAGAGTCACAAATTATTTAAATGGATAGATGATCTACAGAGTTCTTATATCGATTCAGATCTCTGTGTCACAAAATATCAAGAATATAAGATATAAATGGTATCTAAATCTGTCTGGATCTCAGTATCCCAAAAGGTCTGGGAGGATAGGAGATCTACAGGGCTCTTGTATCTGTCTTGATATCAATATCACAAAGTGTTTAGAAGGACAGACGATGTACAGGATCTACTGACATCTGTTAGGACCCCAGCATCACAGATGAACTGCTGTGCCATTGCTTTAGATAGTCCAAGCATACATGCATGTTAGGGACAGGAAATGTCTGTTCTCTCGTTAAACACATTACCTAGACAACAAATATTGTTTAGAAATTGCATAGTGAACCAAATAAAGTTTTTCCCTTCTGTAAAGACACATGTACTTAACATTAAGGACATTTTCTTTTCCTTTCACAGTTGAACAAAAATCAAAGAAAAAGGTCATGAAATAATAGCTGTACTTTAACGCACGGCAAAGACAGACATATATTACAGTAAACAAATTGGTGTTCTTGGTTTGACAGGAGACTAAAGGTCAATGTGGTGTGTACCTCGGCATTTAGGGCCTATGCAGGTCTATACAAAGGTTACAGTGGTGGACAATTCAGCATGTGTCATGTCTTATTTCAAGTTAGACTTTCATCACAGTGCCACAGTCATGCCTTGTAATTGTCAAGTGTCTTATTTCACCATAGACTTTCATCGCAGTGCATTGACCAAGCCTTGTCAACATGGATCATGTAACAAATCCACAAATCTACACAATACACAAAGTCAGTTCTTCCTAACTTAAATGTATGTGTCAGTGATCAATCCTGGTCCTGCTTAAGTAACACCTGTGTAGAGCCTTATACGTTCTTATATTAGTCTACCATGTGTTTGTAAGTCAATGGTAGCTTATACTTGTATTGTGACTTAGAAAGTCTATGCATGGCCTTGAACCTGCAAGGAAATGGCAACCTTAAGCTTGTTTTGTAGGTAATGGTATAGCCTAGCTACTTGCATAACCTAGGACACCCATGGATGGCCTTGAACCTGAAAGAATATTTAGCCAGTATATATACACAACCATTTCTTTACATCAATAGTCGCATGGTACAGTCTATGAGTAACCTTATTTTAAGTAAGTGGGTAGCCTGTATATGTTGACCTGGTACAATCAAGGGGTAACCTTGATTATATTTAATGTCAATGGGTAGAATTGTAAGTGTGATCAAGTGTTATGAACTGTACAATGTTTGTACATATAATGTACAACCTGAAGTGCTTGTGAATGACAGTACCAATGATCTGTGTCTAATGATAGGGAAACATCCAGTCACTAGTCATTAAGTCTGCACCTGGAGATCCTCTGTTACTGAACAGTCTGTGTCAGAGATCCTCACACCTGGTCTGCATCTATATACTCTGTTTTCTAACCTACTCTCATATATACAACCACTGATTTTGGGTTTTCTCTGGGTAATCCATGTACTCCAGTTTACTCCAACATTAAGACCCCCTCCCAGCTTTCATCTGGGCCAAAAACTGATTAATAAAAGATAAAAAATAGATGTGCAGCCAGACAAGAATTCAAAACTCTTACCTGTGGAGCTA